GCAATCGGCATCAACGCTCTCTTAAAATCCGAAAGTACATTCAGGACTGTGATTTGTCATCGGCAAATGGATTACCTTTGCGTTACCTGACAACAGAGAAATGGACCTCTGGGATGGTTTTCTTCTCATGATAAAGACAATAAAATGAAATAAAAACTCTGCTGTACTGCAAAATTTTTATGGTTGCTTTTCCAGGTGATAAGACACAAATGAAAGTGATTTGAAGTGATGAATGACAGTGTTAAGAAAAAATAATTAAAGAATGGGATCAAAAAGCATCAGAGGGAATGATGGAATTTACAAGGAATTTTAATGCGATGCTGCTGCTGCTTGCTTGCCAGCCTTCATGGTTAATTCACTTTCTACTATTCAGAGCTTAGAGAAATGAAAATCATCCGAATCCACTGGAGCTGTAGAACAACTAATACCGACAAGGAAAACAGTAAATAGTGTATGAGTTCAACACCTTGCATTTTAAGGCTAGAATATACCGCTGTGTCTGCATTTTCTTGTGCTCTTATATTCATAATTGTTGTGCACTGAAGACAGTTCAGTTTTATATGGATCACGTCAAACTGTGGTGTGTTAGTGCAATGCATTTCGGTTCTCCATGTCCATTGCAGTTTATTTATAAATTACACGATCTCACAAATCTGTTTGCGGTTAAAATAAATGGAGTAAGCCATGATTGGAGTCAGATGCTTGAAAGACCATGTAATTGAATAAAAGTGATATCACAATTAGTTGTACTATGATCGGATCTTATTATCATTGTCTGTAATCGGCTGGCAACCAGATCTCTCGCCCAGAGTCGACTGGGCATGAGCTCCAACTATAGAAAATGGATGGATGGCAGGAACAAGCCTGCTCTGAACAGTTTAGCTCTGATACTAGCGCTGCTATACAACATGAGAGTCGCCCAGGCTAGTCCACAAGGATTATAAACCACAAAAGAAAGATACACAAGAGATATAGAAATCATATGAAACAGGCCTCTATATCTTCTGGAAATGGCTTAAAATGGGTTTTGGGAAAATAGTACAGGATATCCCGCAAATGATATTTGGGTGTGTGCAGTTAGCCTAAAGAAGGACAGATGTCATAGCTTATGTACTTGGTCATCGCAAGTAAGAAAGTGATAACTAGGAATTGAGGTACGTTCGAGTCACCTAACCAAGATCAATGGGCAGCAATTGTGTTGTAAATCCAAATAATGGGGAGGATGACATTTGGCATCAGAGTGCAAGATGTATCCGAAGAACACAAATCTGAAAAATGGACTGTACAAGAGCTCAAACAGCAATTGACATCTTCGTGGGTGAAATGAAGAGTGAAATATTGGAGAATGTGCCTCACCTTTTACTGTTCTGTTTAGTCTGATTATTGCCAATATTGACTGTGTTGCGTTTCACTGTTTCCTACAATAAAATGGCTGTAAGATTTGGCTTTTTCATGACAGTATTGTCCTTGCCAATTGACTAACTAAACAAGGTTGTTTGTAAGCGCATTTAGTGAAACTGTTTTGTCTTAGTCCAGTCTTTCAGTTTAGATTTTTATCCCAAAAAATTGCACTATTTTTCCTTAGAATGTGCCTCACCTTTTACTGTTCTGTTTAGTCTGATGAAAGTCAATATTGACTGTGTTGCATTTCACTGCTTACTAAATGATAACAACAATCAAAAGATTTGGCTTTTCATGACAGTATTGTCCTTGCCAGTTTACCAACTAAAACGAGGTTGTTTGTAAGCGCATTTAGTGAAACTGTTTTGTCTTAGTCCAGTCTTTCAGTTTAGATTTTTATCCCAAAAAATTGCACTATTTTTCCTTCATTTATATTTGCAGTCCACAGTATTAAAGCGCTAAACATCAACAGGTATAAAATTAGCTTCCTCAAAAATTTGCATCCTCCCTGGAAAACTGCAGCGTTTCATTAACAGAGGTCCCTTACCATCAGACTCTGGAGTGTTTTAATAAAGCAGAAATTCACTGGATTGCTTGGGTGCTCAGCCATGCAATGCTTAAGGGATCATTAGAGGTATTATTTGAAAAGAAAAAAAAAAATCCCAATTTCCCTGCCCCAAGGTCAACACTTTGCAGCATGTGATTGCAAAATGAGTCACATTCCATAAAAGCACTTGGGTGCCTTTAGGCGCTCCATGAGATGCAAATCTATTATTTACCTGCAATCGTTTGTATAAACCACATGGGAGCTTACGTGAATTCATACCGTACATACAGTAGGCGCCCTTCCACTCCCCTTCATAAAGCATGTGTGCACTGAACAACATCAGTGCACAAGGACCTTTTCCTTGCATTTGTGAGTTGTGCTCCTGGGTGAATGATTACCCATTAATATAATCTTTTCGTGCTTTTTAAATTGACTCCATCTTTTCAAAATGTTGCCGAGCAAGCAAAAGAGCGCACTGGTATGCGTTTGAAAAGAAACCACATGGAGTACAAAAGCAGAACAATACATTGGATTTGATTGACACTGATGGACAGCATGCTGGCCACTTACACACCACTGCAAACTCTTAATGCGACAATGAATCTATTGTTGTATTTATTTTTTCGATGGAGGATTAATGTGTTGGGGTACCTAATTGTGTCACGGGGGTAAGGGGGGCATCAATCAGTCCCAATTGGACTCAAATGGCAGCGAGTGGAGACAAACATGTTGAAACTCAAGAGGCCAGTCGTCTGCATTCTTGGCACCCTTTCTTGTTTTTGTTTTGGTGGCTCCATCCTAACAGAGGGAAAGGAGCCTAGTCTGATACTATGACTGGTACTCTACTGCCATCAAGTGAGTAAGACACAAAAGTTCACATGCGCAGTCGAGTCTGTGTTGCATGGCTTGAGAACGTTCGATGCATATGATGAGCATTCATTTCCCGTGGTCGCCTCTATTTTCATGGATTCATTCGAGGAATGGTTGCTGAACGCTGCAAAATTGGTCACTCTCACCTGGATTCACATGACTGGTCCGTTTCCTCTCCAGCTGTGTGAGCATGCAACCCAGAAAGAAATCAAATGTTGCTCACAGCTGGTGAGTCAAATGGGAGTGTAGTGTGACGATTAGGACACATCTGCTTTTGGAAGAGCGCAGATTTCAGATTTGAATGTTGAAAAAAAAATGACACCCTTGAAATAAGCTTTAAAAGGTCCCGTGCTGAAAAAAACTGCTTTCAAAGGCCGAGAGAATGAGAGCGTCAGCTTGGTAATGACTGCATGATGGCATGAATAAAATCCATTGTCTGCTTCATGGAAGGCTCCTTCCCATCTTTGGCATAATCATTTGAATGTGACGTGAATGAATCTATTACACTCTCGATCCCCCCCCCCACCCCCATGCATATTATAGCGAGACTGTAAGCTATTACAGCGTGGCCCACAGTGGAATATGCTGGGGTCAGAAAAGTTGCACATTTCAGAACTGAGGCGAATCAATTATAAATCATACGACACATGCGGTCGGTGCATTATACATCACACGTGTGGGTTCGTCCTCGCGGGATTTTGATGATGCCGCGCAGCGCTCGTTTTCGTTGATACACTGCCGTCCAAGCACCAATATGCACAGAATCCGAAAAGCATATGTAAATACAGTATATAATAGGCAGGGGAGGGGGGGTGGCGACAGGAATTCGGGGCCCTCCTGAGAAAAAAAAAAAAAACACATCAAAATTTTCTTTTCCATTTGAAAGCATTACTTAAATGTGACAAATGTTGAAATGTTCAATCTTTATGCAGGATTTCGGCTCTAGTTTGTTTTAGATCTGTGACAGAAGTTGACCATCAGAACTTTAGCTACGCTACATATGCGCAAATGAATACGTTTCAGCTCCCTTTACACAACCCCACCCCCCCCCCAAAAAAAACAAAAAAACAAAAAACAGTAAGCTGTATTCATTGAATCATGTTTTCAATATTAATTCTTGTTGGCCTTTATTTGGCTATATGAGAGGGAAAATGACAAATCTCCTCTCAGCACTAGGCCGTGCAGTTGGATGCCACTGTCACTGTCAAACATTAAAATGACACCTCCCTCAAGTAAATCCATGCATTATGTCTTTCTAAAGCCGGAATGTGATTGGCAGGCCAAGTTCGTGTCATATAATGGTTGATCCTGAAGGCACAGCTAATTACTACATTCAAGCTCAACAACTTGACCTATTGGACAGGACCATTGTGAGAAGAGTGTGATGGTTTCCAAAGCCTTGGACTTCTTTCTTTTTTTTTTTTTATTTTATTTTTTTTAAGTCTTCAAACAGGAACCTGCAGGGTAAAATATGGCCCATCTCTCACTCCAAAAATTACGTTGTGAGGCCTGCCACGTTCCGGATTTAGATCGTACCAATATCTGCTTGTGGGATAAAACTTATTTACAAATGTGTATTCTGCACATGCAAGCCCCAGGAATGTGACAAATAAATGTGAGAACTGATTCAGAATGCAAAATAATGACCATAAACATCACAGTTGATTTTTTTACCAAATTGCTGTTGGGGTTACAGATTCCTAAAAAGTACTTTCTTGGCACATCGACCACAGCATTTTCACAAGGGCATTCCTAATACCGGCAGTAATGGATACAATTTTACAAAGTTACAAAAGACAGGGAGAGTTTGTCTGTAGCTGACTCTCTTGTGTGACCTCATACATTTGGCATGATGCCACAGACGATCGTCTGCTTGGAGCTCCCACCTGTCTGTCAAGAGATGACACGGTGTGCAGTCATCGAAACACAGCTTGACAATGACTGTCGGCTTGGAAATTTGTGAGCAACAATTTGAAGATGTGATGCTCTTCGAAGGAAAGTCAAGTGACTAAAATATAAATGAGGGCACGTGCTGGCATGTTTTTCATGCTGTTGAACTTTATGAAAACAGGTCATAAGAACATCTCTCTGCTTCATATGCAGCTTAGGGGCAGGACATGACGAAAGCAAGTTCATTGGCTCAACTCAAGCGATATGCAAAGCAGCTGCCAACTGAAGGTTCAGCTTCTGTGCAAACTTCTCACATAAGTTCAGGTGAGAGCAGAGTTCCGACTTGGTCTCGTGTCCTCTTTTGGTATTTGCTGATGAAACGCAAGTGAGTACCGTTTTCAAGTGTTTCGATTATTATTATTAAGATGGATTTTTGGAAAGGTGCATTTTGTTGAAGTGCGCTATTGCTAGAATACTGTGTGACTGACTGTTGTGCTATTTACAAAGAACCAGTTCTCAGTACTTTTGTATGTCGTTTCTTTCACTAGCTAGGAATACAATATCACCCTGAGTTCGGTTTAAATGATGGACGTGTGTTCTTTTAAAGGATGGGCCCTCTCGATTGTGGTGGTATCTGCACATAGAAATGACATAATAATTATGATACAGTAATGTAAGCTGTAATGTCAATGAGGCGTCATCCAAGCCTCTTGGCAGCAAATCAAAATGTAGATCTGAGCATGTTTGGACACTTCTGTCTCTATCAGGTGTACTAAATGAAGAATCGGAACATTTTTCTCCCCCGCTGCTTGGATCTATTAAAATCCCCGAGATGTGACACATTTTTTCAAAGTCAAAGTTGTTTTCCTCAGTTTTCCTGTTGATGTTTGCCGGTGGTTGAGTTGGAATTGTCCGATCCGAAATCCGATGGCAGATTGACGACGAGAGTTCGGAAATGGATTGCACAAGGTGAGGGTGACCTCTCTTGGCTGACTGTGAAAAATAAACAGAAAATCACATACACAAAGGTGTGTGCGCGTGTATGTGTGTGTGTGTGTGTGTGTTATTATTTGCAGTACACGTACACTACATATAAGTTTTTCCATTAAAAAGCGCATTCTGAAATGAAATCTACGAAATGTGTGTTTTGGCAACATGAGGAAATGTAAAACATGAAACTCATCCACTCTTGTTTTGACCCTCAGAGTGCTGCCTACCTTTGGCAGCCACCCTCAGCCAACCGAGATGCAAGTCGACCTCGCCATGTGCTTAAGCCTGAGCCAGCGCCGACGACTTTATCAACTTCTATCGATGAAACCCGCTTTGCATCGTTACCCGCCCACCGGCAGCCCGCGAAGAACCAGCTCCCACTCTTTCCATCAACCCACCGCTTCCCAGTCCTCTGCATCGAGTCTCTCGTCACCCCCAACATCCTCACAACTTCAGAGCTGTTTCCTCAAGAAAGCCGGAGGCCTCTGCAAGAAGCGAGTGGTGTTTGCAGACGCCAAAGGACTGGCGCTCACGGCGGTGCATCTATTTATGCCCGACACATCCTCCTTTGCTGAGCCACAACTCATCGACTCTTGCCCAAACATAGCGCCCAACTTAAAAAAGACACAAAAGCAAAAGTATCGTCTGGGCTTTCCTCAGCCGGCTCTGGACTCCAAAGTGTTCCTCGCACGCCTACGAGAGACAAATGTACAGTTGGAAAGCTGCAGCGTGTCCGAATGCTCCTTGCGAGGGAAAGTGCACGTCTGCCACGGCAGCACTGACAAGGCCGTCCACTTGAGGCTCACCTTCGACTCCTGGCAGCACCACGTCGACATTCCGTGCATGTTCTTGCAACAGCAGCGGTGCGGAGCTTTCGATGTGGACGTTTTCACCTTCGACTTGCGCTTACCTCAAACCATCAACCCAACTGAGCGGGTCCAGTTTTGTGTGGCTTTCAGGCCCGGATGCGGCACGTCAATGCACTGGGATAACAACAGAGGAAAGAATTATAAGGTGTGCATGGAAAAAGATACTGGACAGAATTACCCTTCTCTTCCCAAGCACCGACCACCATCTTGCCCTTCCTATGTGTGTCCGTCGATCAGTATGCAGAACCATGCGGACCTAAGCTTCTTCCAGGGAGGCTCACATGTTCAGTCTGAGTGGAACGGAGATCCCTTTGTTCAAATAAATCGAGCAGATGACAGTATTCCAGTCAAAAGAGCCACGAGGACATATAAATAATAGAAAAAAAGGAATATGCTGTGTGAAATCTCCACTGTTGGCTGGATGTTGTAAAGTGCCGGAGCTCAGCTGCCCTGCTGGAATGTGAATATTTAAATTGATGAAGCTCTTGTCATACAGTACATCTCTGAGCATACTTTTCAACAATGATAAGTCAAGCGAGAGGGCTCAAAGCGTTTTTTTTTTTTTTTTTTTTTTTCTGGAGGGTGAGGGGCTTATTTTCTACAGACCATTCCGGCTCTTTTTTTTTTTTTTTTGGTCATATTTTGTCCTCTCACCCTTTGTCATCCCTAACATTTGTTGAGATTTAATTCTGCAAGAAAAATTTAACACACATTTTTGTCCGTTTTTTTTTTTTTTCTTACTTCAGACTGTAAAATGAACACTGTATTGGAAGAAACAGTGTGGACTGACTTGTTTATAAACTTGAAATATCATAAATAAATAAAATATCCTTCCATCCATTTTCCAATCCGCTTTATCCTCACAGGGGTCGCGGGGGGTGCTGGAGCCTATCAAAGCTGTCTTCGGGGAGTTGGCAGGGGACACCCTGAACTGGTTGCCAGCCAATCGCAGGGCACACACAGACAATCAACCATTCCCGCTCACACTCACACCTGGGGACAATTTAGAGTGTTCAATCAGCCTGCCACGCATGTTTTTGGAACGTGGGAGGAAACCGGAGTACCCGGAGAAAACCCACGCAGGCACGTGGAGAATAATGAAAACTCCACACAGGGAATCCGGAGCTGGAATCGAAACCTGCACCTCTGCACCGTGAGGCCGACACGCTAACCAGTCAAACACCGGGCCACCCCAAATAAAATATCAAACCATATTTTTCATCGCAATTGACTGGCAACCAATTGCGAGTGCAGCACAGCTTAATTGTCAAGGTTAGCCAAGAATAGGCCAGACAAGTTATTTTAGACCATTCAAAATAAACACAAATCCAAGAAAAAAAGAGGTGTGGCACAAGTGGACACAAGTTCTGGTGTAGCGAAGTTACTTCTGAACATCAGACTTAAAAATAGAAACAAAACTAAAATGTGCAATGCGTATGGCACACACCCACACAACCACACACACACTGATTGAACGGCCCCTCCAGGGAAAGCGACAACTGAGACTTATGTGCTAGAAAGTACAGTATATTTTCAGAATACAAAGATCTTGTTTTAAAGAACCCTTTGTTAATGCATGCATCGTCTCCCAGCACAGAACCGAAAATGAATGCTCTGCACACAAAAACACGTGAGTACACGCAAAGCCGTTTGACTCAGTTTCTTGGTGTCTGTTTCATGGCATTGATCACACATTCCAGACAGCAAGAGTCAGGACGCCAAAGGAAGCCTCGGGGCGATGTGGCACGCATGCTCTGCATGGGTAAGCTTGTCCTAGCCACACCCAAAACTCTAGAAAAACAAAAAATGTCTCTCTCTATCAGAATTTGCGATTACGTCTCCTTCAGACATAATTATACAGAAGAACTGTATTTGTTTCATGTAACCTGAACAATTTAGAATACAGTCGGGAATACTTTACAATATGTATGCTAAAGCCAAATATGGACAGGGATGTACCCCTGAACCAGACCCAAAAGTAAAATAATGGACTTTTCCTCCTCTAGAATCTGTGTGTGTGCGTGTGTGTGTGTGTGTGTGTGTGTGTGTGTGTGTGTGTGTGTGTGTGTGTGTGTGTGCTAGAATTGGGGCCATTGTTTTTTGGGTTTTTTTCTCCTGTGCAGGCCTGTTCCTACATTCAAGAATGGAGTCAATGTGAGCTAGCGTAAAAGTGAGAGTGTCTCTTTCGTTCTTTTTGCCACCTGTCTTTTTTTTTGTTTTTTTGTTTTTTTTTGGTTTTTTTTTGCATCCACGCTTAAATAAATGCCATTGCAGCTTTGCATATGTTGTATTATTATTTTCTGTTGAATGTTCTGTATAGGGCAGCCCGGTGGTCCAGTGATTAGCGTGTCGACCTCACAGTGCAGAGGTACCAGGTTCAATTCCAGCTCCGGCCTCCCTATGTGGAGTTTGCATGTTCTCCCCGGGCCCGCGTGGGTTTTCTCCGGGTACTCCGGTTTCCTACCACATTCCAAAAACATGCATGGCAGGCTGATCGAACACTCTAAATTGTCCCTAGGTGTGAGTGTGAGCGTGGATGGTTGTTCGTCTCTGTGTGCCCTGCGATTGGCTGGCAACCAGTTCAGGGTGTCCCAGGCTGAAGATGGCTGGGATAGGCTCCAGCACCCCCCGCGACCCTAGTGAGAATAAAGCGGATCAGAAAATGGATGGATGGATGGATGGATGGATGGATGGATGTCCTGTAAAGTGCTTTGTTATAGTATGCAGCTGCTGTAAAAAAAAAAAAAGACACACGCTAAATAAATCAAGAGGTACTGGTATTGTATTGGATGAGTGTGACGTGCACGTGCAAATTAAAGAATACAACCCGAAGCACCGCGTTTGATTATCAAGCTACAAAGAGTCAGGAAGATGTTTTTCCTGCCAACATCCAGAATTGGGTCAATCACAATCACGTGTATCAACAGGTCTGATACCATAAGAGAAACGATTTTGTTTGTGAAACACATGAAGGCTTTCACATCATGAACCAAAATAGTCGGAGACCAGGAAACGATTTATCAATCTCTGAATCTAGCATATATTGATCGGGTCATGTATTTCAAAACACTTCTGATTGATGAGTGGACAAACCCAACAAGAGACTTGATTTCATTTATTTTTACACGTGCAGATGAGCGGTTCGGATAGCGGATGGATGGACGATGACATGAACGGAACAGATGATGATGATGTTGATGGTGATATCGACTGTGGAACTTTTTCGAAATGTAAATTAATAATCTCCCCGAGAGTGACTTCAAGTTTTTAAAAAATATGACAGAAAAATTGAACCACTTTTTTTCATTTATAAACCATTTCATTACGAAACAGGCACTGCATTTAGTTTCGGAGAACTGACTGGTAACATTCAGTGTTTAATATATTGTCGACTCCACATTATAACTATGATTAAAAAAAATTAATTTAATTCAACTGAACACCTTGTTCAACTATAATTCTTTGAAATGTAATAAACGTACCCTTAATATTCAAATAAATGCCGCCTTTTCGAATGATCGCTCCATTAAATTAAGATCAGAATGTATCTCTCCAAAATGCAAATAAAGCCAGTAGAGGGGTGAAATAAATAACTTGGTTTTATTTTGCAAGGGAATCACTCAATCCTTCTTATGACTGACATTTAAAGTCTTGCACAGTGAAAGCGCGACGGATTGAATGATTTCAAATTGAAACATCTTTCATTACTGCAAGTGCAACGGTTCAAAAAATGCCATGATTATCAATTCTAATCATCCACGTCTTCGCTTTTAATGAACACGTTTGATTTCCGCTTTCAACAATCAGCACAACATCATGATGGATGTGTCTTGATAGTAATCGACGCCTCCAAACGTTCGCTACAGTTCCAGGCTCAGGTTTGCTGGGGGTCTTTCACTCGCACATGTGGCTGGGCAGGTGCTCGTGCTCGGGGTTCCATGGCGACCGGGCAAAACACTCTGCGGCCTTTCTGTCGCACTCGCAAATGAACATCTCGCATTCGTCGTTTTTGCCTGGGGGAGAAAATAGGAAAATAGACATTGGCCATGTTACGGTTTTCATGATGCAAAACAAACAGCGATCAATATTCGGATGATGGGATGCTAAAATCTGAATTCATAGGGGGAACTCCATCCATGTTGCTGTACTCACTGCCACAGGTGACCTTCTTCTGCTCCTTATCGCAGCTGTAGTGATAGAGCTCCGTGTAAGGGTTGTCAAAGATGGGCCAACAATTGGGATGCTGCATAGCGTCGCTATAACACTGGTCATGCACTTCGCAGCACCTGCCAAGGTAAGAGAATATGTGAGGCAGACGGTTTAAATAAATTTTCTGAATTTGAAGCGGAAATAAGGTTGTACCTATCCAGCTCATCCACAGGTGTGCCCGAGCCACCCTTTCCACAAAAACAGCCGTAGTCAGCATAGTCCAAGATGGGCCAGCTATCAGGCATCACACACAGGATCATTTTTCTGAACTGGTTAAGAGCCCTGTAATCCACGGATTGAGCTGCAGGACATAACAAGACACAACAAGCCTGGTCACGGTGTCCTCATTGACGTACAGAATTGAACGACAAACCGCACAGCGGGCTCGCAGCGACTTACCAACAGAGAGGCTTAAAGCCAAGAGAAGCAAAGCGCTGAGGGTCTTCATCCTGAGAGCCTCGAGCTCAGTGGTAGCGGTGCAATCACTCTAGCATCAGACCCTCTTTATATAGTCTGGGACCTTGGTATCTGCAACGTCAGCTGTTCATACTGTACAGGGTCGCACGCTTCACAATGTACAGAGTTCAACATACATATGGGAAGATCGTGACTCTCCCGCCGTGTGAACCCACTCAACTCGTTCAAATGTGTTCGGTCTTGAGGTGGTCAGCAGTACTGCCATTTGTGTACAGTATGTGCAACACAAGCTCAAAAGCAGACTGGGGAATTTTCAGGTACTATAGAGAGTATGAAGCAATTCTGTGTTGAAAAAGAAGCATGAACTTCAAGGCACCTGCTTGCAAAGTTATTAATTTTGGGCATATGTTTAATATGTTAAGAGGTTACATTTAGAAGATATCATTTGCATTCGCTTCATTATTATGCCATACTGATGACATGTCAATCAATCACTGGTTTATAGGAAACTTCACTCCCTACTACATATATACATTGACAGATTTTTCCAGACTTCATTATTATGCCCTGATGACATGTCAATCAATCACTGGTTTAAAGGAGACTTCACCACATACTACATGTATACATTGACAGATTTTTCCACAGGGAAAATGCAACTGGTTTATAGGAAACTTCACTCCCTACTACATATATACATTGACAGATTTTTCCACTGGGAAAATGTAATTTAGTCTTTTGGTTTGAAAAACAAACAAATAAAAACCCAAACAAACAAAGTTTCCTTCAATGAGTTTATCTTTTTATCGACTGCTCCTTCTGTCCATGGTCACAGCACGACCTGGAGTCTGTCATGATTTTGTTTGTGACCAACAGGTGGCACTGTAGGGCTTCCCCTGCAGCTGCACACCTGTTGGTTGTTATGTAATTAGTTGTATAAAAGGACTCCCACCCGACCACTCATTGCCGGGTCATTGTTTGCTGCTGTCATGCTTGTTCCTGTCATGTTTTTGGTCATGTTTGTTCTGTTATTGAGAGTTTTTAGCTTCAGCCATGGGAGACAGTGCTGCTTTTTTCTTAAGTTTTCTCTCTCTCTCTCTCTCTCTCTCTCTCT